TGAACTATACAAATGAAAATTTTGAAGTCAAAGGATATATAGGTCACCAAGAAGTGGATTCAGGATTAGAACCTTGACTGCATCTGGTTACAAATCAAGTGCTGTTGACCATCAAGGCACTAAAAATCGCCATCTCTGAAGAGTTTAGAGTCTGATAGGAGGTGTGAAGTTGCCTGAAGGTCGGGGGAAGAGACGGATGCTGGAGCCTGAGGAAAGATTCTGTTCCACCCTCAGCAGGGGCCATGGATGGCTTCGGAGGATGGAATCCATCATTCCAGACATGGGGAGAGGGGAGTCTTGTCATCTCCTCTAGGCAGTTTGGGCCTGCTCTGCATTCTCCTCTTGCTCTCATACCCCTCCTGAACTCAACAGCCTGTAGATCCCTAAGCGGAGACAGGGCTCACAAGGAACCAGTTCCAAAATAGCCCTAGCAGTAAGTGCATGACAGTGGACTTGTGGACATTAAGGGTCATCAGTTTTGTGTGAACTGAGAGTCTCTGGACACAGCCATTGTGTGTGAGTAGAGCCCATTCCAGCGTGATACGGTCAGAGACCAACATGGTGTTTTCATCACTTTCCACATTCCACATACCATATACCATACACCATATTCCACATGCCATATACCTTATACCACATATATGCATTTCTTGAGTCTGTCCACTCTGTTCCTCCAGAAGCCACTCCTCCTAATTAAACCAAGTGGAAAACACAGAGGTCAACCAAAGAGACTATTCCATCCAAATCAGTGATGTGTCAGCCAAGGACGTGGGCATCTACTACTATGTGAAGTTAACAACAGGGCTTCCTGTTGTGGTGTATGTATCTGGTTCAAGACCCTTGTGTCTGTGAATGGTGAGTACAGCCTGAGAAACTCCATCTCTTAGGTTTGTAAAGCTGAATTTTTCAATATCTGAAACAGGTACCAAATCATCACTACATAATAAATACCGTGCCCCTTCGTCCACAAACAACTCTGTAGACTGGGATTCTACACATGTCTCTTCTGTCAGTCTGAGGCCTGTGCCCAATATTATAGCAAGCCATGTGACAGACCGTGCCCTTTATGATGACCCAACCACCAAAACCTCAACACAGGTACAGAAAAACTCCAAAATCAAAAAAGATATTCAATAGGTTAAATGCAATTGCATGTGTGCACTGAATGGTCCAAAAAGTTGTTAAACTGAGCCTACAAGTCTGTCTGGCATTTCTGAGGTTTAGGGACAAACCTGAGCTCAAGAATATGCATTGTGTCTTTTTTGACCTACTTCCTGACTCCAACATAAGTCACAGACACTGTGGCCCCATATAATTTTCTAGATTTCGATGGAATTTCAACACGGGGAAAGTTAGCCCCCAAGCCTAATATCTCCTGAGACAAAACAAAGGGATCCACAGGCAGGCAGAATCTCTACAAGCCTGCACAATTCCACTCACTCATTGCTAACTGGAATGTCACTGGGGCCTGGTGACAGCCCCCTGAAGGATCACCACAATGCAGTGAAGACATCATTCCCCACACAGGAAATCTATGAATGGCTGTGGTCTACTACTCTGACTTCTGGGGAACCGAGAGACAGCAGGAGGGTTCTTGTGAGTCACCTGCTCCCAGGTCTCCTTCGGATTACTTGTCTTGAAGGAGTTGAGTCTCTCTCCTGATGCCTGATCTTTCCATGGCCTGCCCTGGTCTACCCTCAGCTCTGCTCTTCTCTTATTCTCTGAGGACTACCAGTGTTTCCTGCTTCTTGCCACTCCTGCATTAATTTTATTAAATACAGTGTGATTAGGGTGCCATCTATCCTTCTGGGGAAACTAGTTTCCTCAGTAATGTTCTCTTCAAGTCCAGCCACATTCCATGCCATCCACTGGCTATGGAACATTTACCTATTTCCCTCAAGCTGAAAAATATGAGTACAGTTGGCTTACCTGCTGTTCTCCTGCATTTGGCTGTGGTGTCAGTGTAGGGACCACAGTCAGATCTCCCTGCCTTTGCCTAATGTTATACTGTAACATATTTTGTCTTCATATGATTCTACTGAAATGTATAACATCTTACAATATTTTATCTTGCAGTTTTTCCTCATTATGAACACATTCTACTGTACAGCTGAAAATCCACTTGAAAAGAGCTCTAAAAGTTCTTAGATCCTAACTTCAGAAGCCAGGAATCATAAATGCATATAGCCTTAAAGTTGGGGTGTCCAACTAGCACGACAGTAAAACAGGCTTTGTCTGGCGTGATCCCATGTTTGCCACTTGTGACCTCCTTCAGGTTACTGAACAACTCCAAATCCTAGCTCCTTCCTATGTAAAATCTCAGTATCTTGGGAGTCCAAAAGATGTAGAGTCTGTGAATCTTAAAATCTTAGAATTATCAAGTCATAGAGTGACTCAACTGACTTGTAGGTTCCTAAATGGCATTTAATGTTCATCTTTGCATCTTTCATGGCCAAAGTGGAAAAAAAGAGAGAGCAAGATTTTGAGGCTTTCATTGATCCCATTCATTCTTTCATCCATGCATTCCTCCATCCAACCATGCATCACACATGCATTCACTCAATGCACAATCTCATTCAGCCATGCATTTACCCATGCAGGAACCTGTTAACAAGTCCCTGAATTCTCCTCCTGGGCAGGCCCATCTTGAAGGAGCTCCCTGACTCCCACCGTGGACTTCCTGTAGTAATTGTTTTGCTTTCTCTGGGCTGGGTCAGTTCCCACTACTGTGACAGTGTCCCAGTCTTCACCTTCCCTGGACTTGGTGGCTATTACCTGCCACGTGCAGAGATTCTACCCACATTTGAGCCAAATATATGACTCAATTCATTCGTCTAGCTCTGTCAGATGTGTAAGTGCCCCTTCTCCAGGGGTAATGTGGTTGCTTGCAAACTGTCAAAGAGCCAATAGAGAAATATAGTGGTATATCTTGGAAGTTTGTCATATCTTGTAGTTCTTTTGGAAAATAGAACTGTTGTTCAATTTATCTCTGTGTACCTGTTAATCTAATATATGGTCTAGGTATAGAAGGAGTTCAGTAACAATTTTTGAGTAATAAACTACTCAACATTGTAATAACTATACAATATATACATATACATGAAAAGAATTTCTCCTCTATTACTTCAACCTTTATCATTTCTGAGATTGATAAACTGGTAAGGAACCTGTATTTGTGTTAAATCCTTCAATATCAATTGTAAATACTTGATACAATAAATGGCAAATATAAGCAATAAAAGATCATACACACACACACACTCAACGAGCAAAATGAATGAAGTCTTGTCATTTGCAATAATATGTATGAAGCTAGGTGTATCATACTAAGCAAAAGAAAGTCAAAGAAAGACAAACACCATGTGATTTCACCCATATGTGGAATTTAAGAAATAATAGAAATGGACATATATGAGATGGAATATAAGAAAGATAAGGAATCAAACCATGAGAGACTCTTAATGAAAAAGAACAAATGCAAGGTTGATGAAAGAAGGTGGGTGGGGGGTGGGCTACATGGGTTTAGGGTATTAAGGAAGGCACTTGTTATGATGAGCCCTGTGGGTTGAATGGAATTGATGGATCACTGATTTCTATTCCTGAAACCAATCTTGCACTATATGTTAACTAACTACAATTTAAATAAAACAAACCATGAGAGACTCTTGAATGCTGAGAACAGACTGAGGACTTATGGTGGTGGGGCAGGGGGGAAGGGGGAGATGGGCATGGAGGAGGGCACTTGTTGGGATGAGCACTGGGTGTTATATGTAAACCAATTTGACAATAAACTATTTAAGAAAAAATAAAGAATAAATAAATAAATAAATAAAACTCTGAAAAAAACCTACCTTTTCCTATAAATCCCAGCACAGGGAAATACAGTCAACACTACTGGAGTATTATATGGTAACAGATAGTGACTATATGTACCATGAGTGTTGCATAATGTATAGAATTGTCAAATTACTATGTTGTGTACAAAATAATACAGCACTGTATATAAACTATAAAAATAAAATAAAATAAACTTTTTTGTTTTATTTTTGAGACAGAGCACAAGTGGGAGAGGGGCAGAGAGAGAGAGGGAGACACAGAATCTGAAACAGGCTCCAGGCTCTGAGTGGTCAACACAAAACCTGATGCAGGGCTCGAACTCACGAACCGTGTGATCATGACCTGAGCTGAAGTCAGACACTTAACCGACTGAGCCACCCAGGCGCCCCTTAAATATTTTAAAAATTAAATTTGTCCAGGCAGAAAAAAAAAAAGAACGGGGCCCATACATAATATGTATTTGGTCAAGTGATGTTTGATAAAGGTGCCAAAGCAACTCAATGTGAAAGGATAGTCTTTTCAACAAATGGTGATGAAACAATTAGATATTCATATGTTGAAAGAAGAAGGAGGAAGAAGAGGAAGAATAGAAAAGGAGAAAGAGGAGGAGGAAGAGGAAGAGGAGGAGGAGAAAAAGAAGAATCTTAACCGTTTCCTTATAACATACACAAAATCTAATATTGTCGAAAACATATTACCTTATATTAATGTTACTGTACAATATACACAAAAATACTAAGAACAAATTTAATATGATCAATGGATCAGACTTAAATTTAAGGCTAAAACTGTAAAACCTCTAGAAGAAACTGTGGGAAAAAAATAAAACTGAATATAATGGTTTAGGTGAGAAAAACATTTTAGGTATGACACAGGAAGCACAATCTATAAAAGAAAACATTGATCCATTTGACTTCTGTAATCTCTGTACCCAACTTGAGGCCTCAAGAGGGAGGAAGCCCACAGGAGGTGGGAGAGGCCCATGCAGGGAGGAAGCAGTATTTCTCCTGGGCCGCCCCACTCTCTCTGAAATGTAAGAAGAGGACCCCTCACCAAGTGAGGCCTTCTCTGCCTGACTTGTATTTCACAATCTAGAAGCAGATTGCTGCCTCACAGCCACATCACCGCATCATAGGCACTTCCTCTTAATCATGGGAGGAGGCAGGCTTTCCTCTCTACAGAACAGAGGCCCATTCTCTCCAGGACACACATTTGCACAAAGAGGGTGCGCAGGCTTCCATGATGTCGGCCCCTGCCTCTGGGCCCCACCCTCCTCCTTACCTGCTGCTGGCTGTGCTGTTGGGACTCACAGGTAAGCATTGCCTTGGGGTACAATTCTCTTTCCCTGCCCCCTCAACCTGCCCCTGTCCCTGGACATTAGGGGCCTCCAGATAAGCCCAGGTGTGCTGCACAGAGCTGCCACAGAAGACCAAATGGCTGGGTGTCATCTGAGAGCATGAAAAAGTGATGTGAGCATTTCCTCTATGGATCCATCACCTGCAGCTGGTTACCAGCGGTATTCAGACAGGGGATGCTTGAATCTGCCACAAGGACAAGTGTACGTATTAAGTGATCTAATCCTCACAACACCCCTGCCTGATAGCTAGGACTGTGCTCCCGATCTGCAGATAGAGTAATCAGGCAGGGAGAGTTAGTGGCCAAATGTCGGCTACTTAAGTCAGTGCAGGTGCTGGGGTTCATGTCCAGGCCACTCAGCTCCACGTTCCTTCTTTTAACCATGTTATGCTACTTGGCCTCTCAGTAGAGGCTAACTGCAGAAACGTCAGAAAATACTGAGAGGGAAGCAGAAGAGGCACCACTTATCACACTCTGAGGACTCCAGAGTTCCGATTCTGCCATGTGTACTCCTGAACTTTGGTTAATGATGTGTTGGATGTTACCTATGTGCCAAAATTTTTACTGAGCTTTTAACATGTATTACAATTTCATGTAATCCTCAGAATAATCTGTACACTAGCATGCTGGGCCACACTTTATATATACTTGGGAATGCACTTGTGTATGTGTGCATGTACATGTATGAGTGGGTGTGAGGAAAGGTACACACACAGGCATGTGCACACACATTGGATATTTGAAAATGCTTTCCTTAATTGCTGTCTTCACATCACATCCACTCTGCGTGAAGTGTACATTGAACACATGTTTTGGTAGCTTTCAGCTACTCACCCTCTTTTTCTACTTCTCTAAACTTACTGCTCACCCTCCACTGAACTCTTAAGGCAAGTGAACTTCTTTCAAGGTAAAATGGTTAGAACCTTGTGTATTACTGTGTTGATGGTCCTCTTCCCAGCTGGATCAGAGTGAGGAGGAAAATGGGATACAATACACAGAGACTCCTACCTATATGATCTTCACCTATAATTGTATCCTGATCCCAATCATCCAGTGTTGGCTTATGCCTTCAGACCTCAGGAAATCTCATGAGTAATAGCTTTCCAATCTCATGAGAATTCATTATGTGCCCCACACACTTGGAAATGCGTGCATCTGTCATGTCCTATGATCTTTGATTCGGAAACACATTTTTCTTCCCTTAGCTTACAGATTAAAAAAAGGAGACACAGAAAATTCCAAGGTCACTCAGTGGTGAATGGCAGGGCTATGATTTGAACCCAGGCATTCTGATTCTAAATCTCACTAGTATAACCATTCCTCTTTTCAAACCCAGGGCCCCACATCCATCCCTTGAGGTTTCTGCAGATCTGCCAATGGGTGTAAAGAAGAGAGGGTGTGGGGAAGATTATTTTTGGTCTGCTTCTCTTGGGCTCTTCTGCTTCCTGAGTATATGAAAATAATTGTTACCCCCAAACATCTTCATGGGAAACTCAGCTTCTCATAATTTCCTGAGAAATGCTCCACTGAAAATAGACTGCAGGGTCCCAAACGAGTCACCCTATGGAATTCATACATTACATAAATATTTCCCGGATAACTACTGAGTGCCAGAAACTGTCACCTGAGCTTAAGGAGTACTGGTTATTAAAAGAGAGAAAGTAGTGGCCCCTGTGGAACTTACATGGTAGTGGACAAAAGGACTGGAAACAATAGATATACCAATTCAGCAAATACCACATAAACCAGAGAGTGATGAGTGTTAGAAAAAACATGATAGTACAGCTGGCTAAAAGAATGGGAGACTCTTTAGGGTGGGAAAATTTTAAAGGGGCAGCCTGGGTGGGCATCACTGAGAAGGGAGATTTGTGCAAGATTACAAGAGGGTGGGGGCACTGTGACCTCCCTGCTCCCCATCGGGAAGGTGGAATGGTTCAGGGGGACGGGGCCAGACCAGGAGTTAATCTTCAGTTTCAGAGGAGGATACCACCCCTCCCCCCGAGTAACAACTGTTGCAGACACCACAAAAAGAAACAGCACGGACTATTCCATCCGCATCAGTAACATCTCCCCAACAGACATGGAAACCTACTACTGTGTGAAGTTCAAGAAAGGGACCCCTGATACGGAGTTTAAGTCTGGACCAGGCACCCAGGTCATCGTAAGTGGTGAGTGTGGCATGGGCTCCTTCGTCCCCTGTATGTGACAAGTCAATAGGAATGCCCTTCACTGTGTAAGCAACAGATAAGGATCAGGTGCTGTGGAGGGTGCCCCTGAATCAACCCCTTCCATGGATCAGGAAAGTTGAGGCATGGGGAAGCTGTGCTGTTTGCTCAAGGCCCCTCAGCTGGTAAACACTGGAAAAATCTGGACCCTCAGTCAGCAGGCTCCAAGCTCTTCATTTTTCCATTCCTACCAGCCCTCTGGTTCAAGAATGAGGGACAGAAGGTCTGAGTGACCTGCCTAGTCACAAAGACTCACCTCACCCCTGCCTCCAGATAGCACCTACATCGATGTGGCCAGTGTTCTCTCTACTCAGCACTTACTAAGCACCTGCTGTGTGCAGACTCTGCTCTGGGTGCTGTGGGAGAAGCAGGGAACAAAATAGGCAAGGCCTCCTCACTCATGAGGCTTATGTTCCCCTCCCTCCTGTGAGGACAAGTGCACCCAGTGCAGGGAGGGGGAGATGAATTTCCTTATAAACAGCCAGGATATCACAGGGAGAAGGGACACAGAAGCCCCGGTTACTCTGCCGCCCCTGGTAGAAGAGATGCCAGATGTTGGTCACTTCCTGTGTGTCTGGTCAGAAAATGTTCCTGTGATTCAGGGACTGACTCTCACAGTAGCAAATGAGTCTCCTCATACCCCCAGACGTAGGGAGGAAAAGTGGCTTGATCCTGATTGTGCAGGTATTACAGAAAGTCCCAGTGGTATGTCCCTTGCCTGGTCACCATACCTATACAAGGCTCCACCGCCAGGCAGGTCTATATCGTCTGCCTACTCAGATGGGCAGAGGTTCTAACATTGACCCCAAGCAGCCTGACCCTCAGTCCTACTCTATGCAGTCACTGTCCTGGTCATAGCAGAGAGAGCCCCAAGCCTCTCCTTGAAAATCTTCTTTGTTCTGTTCTTCAGCAGTAAGTGTTAACAAAACCGAGTCCTTAGATGAGGCAAGGCTAGGATTACACCCCAGATCAGACAGGTACACAAAGGTCTCAGCAAGTATTGAGCCGTTCGTGGAAGACACGGCTCCATGCATGGAAGAGCATCCGGAGTCTTTCCCTGTTGTGGGATGTTGCTTCTTCACTGAGCAGCCTGGGGAGGGGGCCTGGGCAGAGCAGAGGGGTTGCCACAACCCCAGCCACACCACCCATGCACCCTGTTCCTGGCTCTGCAGACTGAGGATAACAAGGAGGCCATTCATAGAGAGCGTCTAGAGCCCCATGAGCAAGGGTTCATTCTCTAGACTCAGCCGTCCGGGCTCCACACCTCCTCTATTGCTACAGGGTCCGCAGCCCTGGGCACCTGCAGGGACCCTTCCCAGAACTGCCTGCAGTGGAGAGTCCCAGAGGGAAAGGAGGGTGGCAGTCACTGTTGGCTCCAGAAGATGGAGCACTTGTTCTGTTGTGATGAGAAGGCTGGAGGCCACCAGAAGTCCCCCTGGGATGCAATTGAGGGAGAGGAGCAGTCCCTTGTTTCTCTCAGACTCAGTCTCCTCATCTGAAAATGGTGATAATCATAGTCTCCTCCTAGGAGAGCAGGAAGGAATTGAGGAGCTCTGTCTGCATCGCTTACACATAAGAAGTGGCCCAAATCCAGGGTTTCCTCAAGGCTGTGACCCGGCTCCCTTTGCTGGGTTCCGTTTCCTCACCTGTAGAACGTGAGTCATCACACCAGCCTTGGCAGGACGTTACGGGGACACAGTGAGCCATGTGAGAGAACAGACCCTCAGTGAGCCCTGAGTGCCCCTCCCAGACCTGTCCGATCCTGGGCTAGTCTCAGTGTCTATCAGGTCCTTCCTGTCCCATCTGTGCCACAGCAATAATCGGGCTGCTGGTCAGGGATCTGAGGATTGCAGAGAAGGTCCAGAAAGCCCCAGATGTGGGGGGTAGGTGATTCTTGAGTGTCCACACGCAGCAACTGAGTGTGTGGCTGATCCTACTCACGAGGCTCCCAACCAACTCTGCCTTCCTGACTCTGATGAGTCATCCCCACACTTGGCCGGTGTCCTTGTCTGTCTGTGACCACATGACCACAGAGCCGCTGTAGGGACTGAGTGAGCGAATTCATGTAAGGTGCTTACAGCAGGGCCTTTCACGTAGTCAGTGTCCCATGAATGTTGGGACACACCTGGGCCCCCAGCACAGTTATGAAGGAGCTGAGAGGTAGGATGGGTCAGCCTAGCATTGGGGGCCCAGGACACCCTCAGTACAACTAATCACAGCACTTTGTCCCTCTAAGGGTGTGAGGGTTGCTGGCATTTTCATGACTTGACTTACTCATGTGACACATCTGAACTCAGAATGTCTGCTGAGTTTTAGAAAGGAGAATATTCACACATACACATATTTGTAATATGTGCCCTCAGCCAACCATTATAGAAACTGTTGGGTAATAAGTGACAATTTGGAGACACCCTATCAGACCTTCTACAGGTGAAACTTCCTCCCTTTCGAGTCATTGACGTGTGTGTGTCCAGGACACAGGAGGGCTTCTGCCTGCTCCATAGACCGGTGTCTCTGCCTTGAAATTATTTCGCATTTAAGAACTTAACCACCACTGATATCATAGCACTCAGTGATCTTGGTTTTCAACCCAACACTGACCCAAGAGAAGAACGCAGATTCAGAAGAAACAACACTTCATCCTCTCTCAGATTCAGGGATGGCACAACTAGAACTTTTAGAATATTTGTGGAAAGAGTGAAAAATTGAGTAGATTCATAATGACTTGAAGGGAGATCCAGGCATGAACTAAGTTTGGGATGAAGATAGATCTGAGTTTGTGTGGTTCTGAGAAGCATTTTCAGTGTTAAATTTGAAGCAAAACTGCCTGCATTGCCTCAAGTGTCCCTCACTGCCACTGGGGACAGTGAAAGGCTGCTGTCTGATCTCACAGGGGGCGCTGGGCTGTGCCACCTCCACACCTTGAGGCTGCTGGCCACCTGGTTCTGGCTCTCATGGGGGTCACAACCCCCCTGCCCCCACCCCTGTGCTGACTGCTGCACAGCTCTCTGAAGTCAGGAAGGTGTCGGAGAGGCAGCTCAGAACAGTGGAGACCAAGAATGACACCCACCAGAAATGTCCTTCCTGTGCCCACATGGGTGGGAAGTCCCCTGGCAGAGAATACAATGGGGACCTGGTCCTCAGGCTGGAATTGCACGTGGGCCCTGCCCTGACTCCGAGTCAATCTCTGACCCCGCCCTCCCAGCACTATCAGAAGGGCTGAAAAAGAATCCGTGTGACATTCTGCACAGTGTCACACACCTGTCATTGGGGACGATGACCACGGTCGTGCTTACTCGTCATAAATGCTCCTCTCGTAGCCAAACCCTCTCCCCCCGTGGTGTCGGGCCTCACAGCCAGGGTCGCGCCCCAGCAGCCAGTGAGCTTCACCTGCGAGTCCCACGGCTTCTCCCCCAGAAGCGTCACCCTGAAATGGTTCAAAAACGGAAACGAGCTGCCAGCCTCCTGGACCACCGTGGACCCAGAGGGAGACAGCGCTTCCTACAGCGTCTCCAGCAGCGCCACGCTGGTGCTGGCCCCGGGGGACGTCCGCTCCCAGCTCATCTGCGAGGTGGACCACGAAACACTGCAGGGGGGCCCTCCACTTCGTGGGACGGCCAACCTGTCCGACACCCTGCGAGGTAGATGCCCGTCACCCCCAGCCCAAGCCCACGCCTGGCCCCCAAGCCTCCCAGCCTGCCCCTTCCCCACTCTGTGCTCGCAGCCTTCCACCCCCTGGATCCTGACTCCTGACAGACCCTCCCCATCACCGGGCATCCAGAGTCACCTCCTACTGTTTTATATGGCAGATTCCAGGTGAACCCCTACCACGTGCCAAGCACTGTGCTAGGTAGTTTCATTTACTTTCCTATAGCCGTTCCATTATTGAGCACCTACTGTAATCCAACCAGTGTGAGCTTGGTGATTTCATGTATTTTGCTAGTTATTCTATTCCAACTGCATGCCAGGGACCCCGAATCTGGATTTCACTCATTATTACCCTAATGGGAGCTACCAGTCCTTGAGCACCTACTGTGTACTGGGCAGTGTGCTAGGGATTTCATTCCCATGCAAAGACTACCCTCACTCTTTGATCACCCACTGCATGCCTAGCACTGTTCTGGGTAATTCCCTTGCTGTCTGGGGGGAGCTAAGTTCACGAGCCCCTCCCCTGTGATGTGTCTGTTCCATGGGGTCAGAGCTTCTGCTCTGTGCTGTTTCAGTTCCATCCTCCTTGGAATTTGCCCAGCAACCTGTGACAGAGGACCAGGTGAAGGTCACTTGCCAAGCAAAAAAGTTCTACCCTCAGCGCCTCCAGGTGACCTGGTTGGAGAACGGAAACGTATGCAAAACAGAGACAGCCTTGAGCCTCATAGAGAGCAAGGATGGGACCTATAGCTGGACGAGCTGGCTCCTGGTGAACGTATCTGCCCACACAGAGGAGGTGGTGCTCACCTGCCAGGTGCAGCACGATGGGCAGCGGGCAGTCACCAAAAGCCGTAAACTCAAGACCTCTGGCCGCACAAAAGACCAGTGCACAGATGGAAACTCTGGTAAGGCTTGATGCCAACTAACTGGCATTTAAATTTTATATTTTCTTTTTTCATGGTAAAAGTAGTTAGTCATGCTCATTGGAGAATAATCTAGATATCTATAGACATGAAAGTGAAATTTGCTGTGAGGTGCCTTCCTGCAAAGCCCACACTCCAAGAATGACCACTGGTAAGAGTTTGGTACATATATCTTTAGATCTTTTGACATAACCATGCACTAGAGAAAGAAAGAAGAGAGAGAGGGAAATTAGAGAGGGATCTTGTTGCCATCTGCCTCCTGCTCCTTCACCAGTTGATTAAGTCACCATGCCAGGCCAGCCCCCCACCCTCTCCCGATCTTTCTTACCTGTCTAATCTATATTCCTTCAGAGCATTCAATTGTCACCCCAGCAAATGTCTGCATCTAACACTCTGAAATTCTGGAAGAAAGCCTGGAGGACCTGGAGATTTTCGTTTTCTGTTTTTATAAAGAAAGCTCTCTCTTTGAAGTTTATTTATTTATTTTCAGAATGAGAGAGTCCTAAGGACAAGGACCACCAGCCTGTAGGACAAACATGTATTAGATATAGTATCTGGACATTGTCCCTAGAACCTACAGAGTCCCCTTTTTATGACCAAAGTGTATCTTATTTCTCTCATGTATCATCAGGAGTAGTCAGAGCCAGGATTCAAGGAGTCTTTTCTCCAAAAGACGTTTCAAAGGCCTATGTTCCTTCTATATGCACTATGACATCACCATCATTGCTGGGACAACAATGGGTCACTCAATGTCCATGCCCCTCCATCCGGGAAAGTATAGATGGGAAGAGGAGAACAAATAACTTCTTTTAAAACTAGAGGTGTACAGAAGTTGCAGAATTGTGTCCACTAATGGCTTAGTCACGGATGCACATCCAGTTGCACACGGAGTCCATGATTGTGTGGTCATGTGAGTAACGAGTCTGGCTTTTCTACAAAACCAATACCATTACACACTTCATAAAATAATTTCCTACTACCATCTAAAATGGAGTCTATATTCAGATTTTTGAAAATTTCTCCTGTAACTTCATTTTGTATCCCTAACTCGGTTTTATTTCATCTGTAAATGCTTGGAAGAACTTTCCTGTGAAACCACCTAGGCTCCACGGTTCTTTTAGTGACTGGAAAAGAATCCGAGTGGCTACTCAAATTCATCATTTTATATAGGATTCTTGGGGCCAGTTGTGCTGTTGAGGATTTTGCTCCATTTTTTCTGCGTCGTTAAATTTCTGCCCACAGAGTTGCTCATAATACTACCTCGATAGCCTGTTGGGGTCTGTAGGGTCTGTAGTGATATGCTGTTTCATTCTTGATATAATGCGTTATTTCTCATATTTTTCATTGTCAAATGCTAGATTTTCCATTTTATTGATCTTTTCAAAGAACCCACTTTTGTGTCCGTGATTTTCTCAATTGTTTCTGTTTTCAATTTCATTGCTTTTTCTCCTCTTTTTTCCTTCACTTGCTTTGAGTTGATTTTGCTCCTCCTTGTTTTATGACGTTGGAACTGAGATTTTTTTTTAAATTTAAATTCTAGTTAGTTAACATACAGTGTAATATTGGTTTCAGAAGTAGAATTCAGTGATTCATCACTTCCTATAATACCCAGTGCTCAACAGTAGTGCCCTCCTTGATACCCATCACCTTCTTAGCTTACCCCCACAAACCTCCCTGCATCAACTCTTAGGTTATTCTCTACCATTAAGAGTCTCTTATGGTTTGTTCCCTCTCTCTTCCCCTCTTCCCATAGGAGCATTTGTTTTGTTTCTTAAATTCCATATACGAGTGAAATCATATGGTATCTCTCTTTTTCTGACTGACTTATTCCCCTTAGCATAATACACTCTAGCTCCATTCACGTTGTTGCTAATGGCAAGACTTCTTTCTTTTTGATTGCCGAGTAACATTCCATTGTATATGGATTCCACGACTTCTTTACCCATTCACCAGTCAATGGACATTGGGGCTCTTTCCATTGTTTTCCTATTGTTGATAACGTTGTTATAAACTCTGGAGTGCATGTATCCCTTTGAATCTGTATTTTGGTATCCTTTGGGTAAATACCTAGTAGTACAATTGCTGGATCATAGGACTGTTCTGTTTTTAACTTTTTGAGAAAACTTCATACTGTTTTCCAGGGTGGTTGCACCAGGTATGCATTCCCACCAACAGTGCCAGAGCATTCCCCTTTCTCTACATCCTCGCCAACAATTGTTGTTAAATGTATTTTAATTTTAGCCATTCTGACAGCGTGAGGTGGTTTCTCATTGGAGTTTTGATTTGTATTTCCCTGATGATGAGTGATGTTGAGCATCTTTTCATGTGTCTGTTAGTCATCTGGATGTCTTCTTTGGAAAAGTGTCTGTTAGTGTCTTCTGCCCAGTATTTGTTTCTTTCTTTTTAATTCAAGTTAGTTAACATACAGCATATTCTTGGTTTCAGGAGTAGAACCCAATGATTCACCTCTTACATATGACACCCAATGCCTATCCCAAAAGCTTCCCTACTTAATGCTCATTACCACTTAACTCATCTCCCTACCCACCTTCCCTCCAGCAACCCTCAGTTTGTTCTCTGTATTTAAGAATCCCATTTGGTTCCCCCATTTCTTCACTGGATAGCTTCACTGGATTGAAATTACTGATACTAGACTTCTTTGTTTGAATGTCACATCTTGGCCTCCTTCTGTTTCCAGGGATTCAGGAATACGAAGCCAGGATACCTAAACTCTGTTCTTTCTCCAGGCTGTTGAGACTTAACTGCCTGCCTTCCTCCTCCACCTTTCAGAGTCCTCCAGATTGTGTGGTATTTCCCTTTTGTCTCCTAGAGATTCTTCAAAATGGGACTGTTCTTCAGGGGTCACTGACAGCCAGTGCTCCATAGAATTTACTGTCCTTTTATTGCCTTTGCTTTGTGTTCAGAAGCTGTATTCAGGGACAGGTAACTAAGCTGCTGCCTTGTCCTCAGCAGACACAAGTGCCCTGAGGGCTTTGAATGCCTTGTCCCCAAAGTCTCTATCCCATATCTCAGTATGTCTCCCATGTTTCCCCCCGGGCCCGATTTTGGCAAAGCAGGTGCACTGAAGCTGAGAGGTCAATCCTCTCTGTAGCACTGATGCTCCTTTGAGGATGGTGGACCCACTTATGTCCTGAGCTTTTTCTGCCCTCTGGCTCTAGGAGGGAAGAGTCTACAGTCTTGCCTGGGATTCCTTTGACTTTCACCCAGAACTTTTCATGTGAGATCTATTGGTTTCTTTTTGCGTTGTCTTTCTCCAATGGACTGATACCCAGCAACAGCCACTCAATCCTGTAATTCTTATAATGAGCAGTTTATTTTCACATGACCAGAGTACTCCGTTCTTCTACTGACTCCATCCCAGATCACTGTTCCAAGGTTCTAGCTTGACAAGTGCAGGACAAGCTGGGACCAATCCCTGCCCCACCTCCCACTAGGCTGGGGATCTGTGGGCCAGAGACCATGTCTGTATTTGCACATTAGAGCTGGGTTTCCACACCCCTTCCAGACAAATGCCACAGGTCAACTGCCTTGGGAAGCATCCTCTAAGTTATATGAGAAGGGGGCAAGTTCACTGGTGAGTCCTGCCCAATTCACACGCGTGTGAGACAGGGAAGGAGGCAAGACTGGCAAAGGAAGACACTGAACACAATGCAACACAGAAGAGTCATACTTGGACAGAGAACAGGCAAGCTGGATGCCATTTTTTACATTTCTTTTGAATGTAGCAGAGGGGCAAAACCTCTGTACCTGCTCTTCCACTAGGCCTCTGCCCTCTACAAGGAGGTGCAAACATGGGCAATGCAGCTCATTCAACTGAGAAAACTGCTAAGGGCCACTCAGCTGAGAATTGCCATCCTCCAACACAGCAGGGGTAAAAACGGTGGGTCTCTGCTCCTATCTCTAAGATTATCCCATATATTTCAATTATTTTTGAAATTTTTTTAGTGTTTTAATATTTAGTTATTTTGAGATAGAGAGACAGACAGACAGAGTGTGCGTGGTGTGTGGGCAGAGAGTGAGACAGAAACACATATTCTGAAGCAGGCTCCAGGCTCTGAGCTGTCAGCACAGAGCTCATTGCGGGGCTAGAATCCATGAACCATGAGATCATGACCTGAGCTGAAGTCATACACTTAACCAGCCACCCAGGTGCCCCTTACTTGAATTTCTTGATGTAAATCTAAGAGCAAAACCAATCATTATGAAAAGGCAAACAATCTGAAGCTGTGCCTGCAGACACAACGGTCTAAGTCTGACAAAAAGATGTCCTATCTGATATTGGCACTGGGGGCCGGATGGGATGGGTGATGTTTGAAACCCCTCCTGAGAATTTCCTTGCCTCTCTCAGGTGTCGTCCAGCCAGCAGGTCTCATGAGGTCAAGGCACCCTGAGAGTGCCCTCAGCATGTGAAAACATGGGGTCATGGATGACTGTGTGTGGTACAAGCAAGGCAGCCTTGCACCTCACTCACCATGACACAGTCTTCACTCTACTGGGGGCTGGCTGCCATTCATCCTTATGACCCTGAGAGGTTGGACATGTCCTGGTCAAAGGACAAGGTCTCAGAGTCACCCTATGGGACAGCAGTGAAGGATTTCCCAGTCATCTCATGACCCTCCATAAACCATGAGCCTGTTTCCCTATCAGAAAGAGGGTGTAAGACTTGCACCATAGGGTGTGGGGACCATGTCAGTAAAGCTCACTTGCATGTTGTTGAGTTCTCATGTTTCCACCCCTTCCCTCAGGAAGGAAACCTGGTAGCTTGAGAAGGGGTGAGGGAGATGAGGTACTTCTTACCCTGAAATCTGCCTCTTGCCTCTCGCAGGGAGATCATGAGCTTCAGAGCATTGATGGGTCCATGTCTCCTCAGATGGAGTAAGTGGAGGCCCATAGGAGTGGACTCCTGGATCCTTCTCTGATGGTGCGTCCTGTCCCTTCATTTCCAGATCGAGAACTGTCCACTCCACTCCTGGTGGCTCTCTGCCTGGGCCCCAAGCTGCTGCTCCTCATCACTGCCTCTGTCATCTATGTCCACAGGAAGCAACGGATTGACTGTGAGTTGTGGACGAGGAGAGCATGGCAAGGTCAGTTCCAGAAGGAGCCAGGTCAGCGGGAGGAGCACCGCACAGGTCTCACAGGGTCAGCGCCCACCTGGAGTAAGAGCAGGTGACGCACCTCCCTTCATACCCTCTGGAGCCTAAGGGATCCCTCTGGGAGGTTCTCAACTCCCAGAAAGAGTGTGGGGTCCTCAGGAACTGTATTGGGGCAAGGGCTGTCGAAGGACAAGCACAGAGTCCTAGGGCTTCTGGTAAGGAAATGGCAAGGAGGCTGAATGAGGGCAGCTGGGTGGGAAACCCCTTGGAGACCATCTCTAGATTCTTTGGGTACAAAGAGTCCACAGTTAGAGGAATGCTGATGGGTGCCCGCTGGCTCTTCTGGGGACAGCTCTCGCTATGACCCTCTAGGGGACAGACTGGAGGGGTGGGGGAGGGGATTGAGATCTATGGAGGAAGGCTGAGGAGGCAGAGTCCATGTCAGGGGCTGCCTGTCCTCTCATAACAGGTGTCCCAGTAGGAAAACAGCACCAAAAACAAAAATAGGAGACACATGGAGAACATTTCTGGAATGGTGAGCAGATAAAGAAATGTGAACATGAGTCCATAGCTCCTTCCTTCCTCCCCTGCTACCTGCCACCCTTAGTCTCTGCTGCCTCCTTCTTTCCATGAGGGGCCCAGCCTAAGACAAGGAACACCTAGAAGCTTTCACAACTCTGCCCCAAATGCCTGCTTCCCCAGAGACCCACCTGCCACAGTTCTTTCTGCTCCTTCTCACCGTCCTTGACATCCCCAGACCTGAGTCTTCATACCTGGGCCTGTGCAGGGGCCATGGGAATGTCTCTGGAGACATACACATGGATATCTTCCTAGAATGTGAGAAACAAGTCACATGTTCATGTACCAGGCTATCTCTCATCCATTTCCTGGGGACCTTGGTCATGAACCACACATTCAAGTCCATGCTCTCATGGGTTATTCCTGCCTACACCCAGACTCCCTAGCCTTGCTAAGGTGCTTCAATCCATCTTGTATACAAATAAATCCCATCCTGGTTTGAAGGGAAAAGCAAGGATTCTCATCCCATTTGCCGATCTGTCCTACTCCTCAAACCCAGAGAGAAGATTTCCTCCTCTCCCTGTGATGGGAACACTAACTCTACTGTCACCTTCATCCTTTTTGGCCCTCTGCTCATGTACATGTGCTGGAGATCCAGAAGTCAGGAACCTTCCTTGATTTCCTTCTTTATATCCTGTATTTATTTCTACTTCCATAATGTATGTCCAGTATCCAGACAGTGTTACAGATTCTACGCTTGAACAGGAAAAGACTGCTTTGTGGTGCTTGTCGACTTCTGTGCTGTCGATATATCTAATGTGGCCAATTTCAAGCTGCCAACAGTTATATAATGAGCTTGAAAAATTCCTGAAAAGCTCTCAAGTGCGAGTGCAGCTTCCTCCCTCAGCCAGTGAGCTCCACCCAGAACCTGCACTCTGCTCACTTCTGGGCTGCTCCCCAGTCCCAGCCAAGAATATCCCATCCTGGACCATTGCTTTGTCCCTAACAGGCTCTCCAGTGTCAGCCACAGTGATCCTAGGGAAGTAGAAGTCAAACCATATGCCTCCTCTGCTTCTTCCCCCTACAGATGTGCATACCTCAGTCTCTCCCTCTTTCAAGCTTTCCCCACATGTCACTCTATTAAAAACACCTTCCATTAACCACCCACATAAAATAGCAATTCCTGTCTCTCACTCTGTGTTCCCACAGCTCATACCTGAATTGAATTCTTTCCCTGGAAGTTAAGATCGGCCGACATGATAAATGGAGACAGTGCTCGTCTGCACAGTGGTGCAGGACGGAAACAATGACGATGCATCTGAAACCATGTGAAGTGATCAGAATAATCTGAGGGAAAAGTAACAACTTTTCTGTGAACTTTAGAATCTTAGTTCAACATATTGGATACCCTCCAACTGCCAGTTATGAACAGATACAGACATGAAAAGACAGTAATAGTATGATTCATTTGGTAAATGGTCATTTGAAGCATTAGAAAGGGTGAAAAGTGGGGTGGGGTGCTTGGGTGGCTCAGTCACTTAAGCGTCCACCTCCTGACTTGGGTTCAAATCATGATCTCACAGTTCATGGTTTCAAGCCCTTTGCTGGGCTCTGCCTGGAGAGCACAGATGCTGCTTGGGATTCCTCTCTCCCCCTCCCTCTGTTCCTCCCTGGTTTGCTCTCTGTCTCTTAAAGAAAATAAAAGAAATAACATTAAAAATTGTTTTAATTAAAAAAAGGAAACCTTGAGATGAGAAGTGGTTTATTTTTTTATAGACTCATCTAGAGATGTTGGCAGAGTGCTTGCCTTCTTGTAACTGCACAGTTTACAATAAAAGAAGTTCTCCATTATCTCCCTTGTTTCTCAATTGGGATCAGCTTCCAACATTATCACACTTCCAATGCTGTGAACAACATACTTGTGAATATTTCCTGGTGTCACTTCTTCTGGGACATTTTCACCCTCCTTACGCCACCTCCTCTGTCCCCACACCACCCTCAGGTACGTGGTGGGTTTGCCTTCACTCTGCTCCTCTGCTTGCATATCTAGACTCGGGAAACACTCTGGAAACCATATCCCTGGCAGCATTTCCATGAAAGTTGCCATTGCTTCATGAACGCTACTCACATTCAGTTCGAACTTCACCTCTAGCCTCATCTTTTCACAATTCACCTGCATACTTTCAGCTTGGTGCCAATTCATTTTCACCATTTTTTTTTTACTTTTATACAACGTCACCCGGGTTCATCACAGGGAGACCAGGAGACAACAAAACTACCCACTTGCTATTGTGGTAAAGAAACATCACAACCCCAATATCCTGACACCTTGATCTTAGACTTCCAGGATCCAGTACTTTAGGAATTGGTTCCTGTTGTGCAAGGCATCCAGTTTTGGGTGTTTTCTTACAGTAGCCCAAGCCAATACCAAATCTAATATATTATGAACTTTGCTTACTGATCATGAACCAATGTTGATTCATTATTTATAACAAATGTACCATACTACTGTAAGACATTAATAAGACGAGAAACTGGGTGCATCTCTATATTGGGACGCTGTATGATTGTCACAATTTTTTCTAAATGTAAAACTGTTTCACAAAATTAAATCTATTAAGAAAAAGTTTCAACATCTTGTGCTCAGCTGAATCTCTGCCTCTTGCACCCCCTTGGGAGAAAATGCAAGGTAATGAATGGTGGGAAGATTCTGTGTTATTCAGGTTTTATTTCATTTCACATTTGAGGTTCCTCCTCCTTCCTGTCCTCTGCCAGAGCTCACTCCAGAGCCAGGCACTCAGGGATCCCAGGAGCTGCTTCTCAGTCCCCATGATAGGCATCCCAAATATTTTCAATTATGAAAGCCCAGGTTAGTCCAAGGGTGAACAGAGAACTCTGATCCCCTGGGGGTAGTTTTCAGACCTCATATGGGGAGCAGTTAATCCTGTCCTGAACCCAGGGAACAGCTGGAAGGCGCTCTGCAGAGCATCGTGGATGCTGTGATGTACCAGGTCTCAGGAGGTGGCCCTCAGCTGTCACCCTCTTTGGGATGGCCTCAGCTGAGGAGAGTCACCATGCCCAAGGTCATGCCTGGTAACATCCTAGCTCCAGACCACATGGGAGATCATCTGAGGTTATCATTGAGACCTCACTGCAGCTCAACTTCTTCTAAACAATCTTGTTCCCTTCTTCTCCCTTCCACAGGTTTGATCCTAAAAGTACTTGCTGAAAATCACTTGCTTGTTAATATTCATCTCAACATCCATTTCCCAGGGAACCCAATGTGGAACAAGAGACTGTGGTCAGTACCAGATAAAAGAAGAGATCCTTTTGTCTCTAGGGGCCAAGCCAGTCATGGAAGAATGGATTGTTTACACTGCCACATACCATATACATATACTGAATACCACATTCCATATACCATATCCCACACAGCATATTCCACATTCCATATACCATATACCACATACCATATACCACATTGCATATTCCACATGCCACATGCCATATACCACATACCATATGCCACACACCATATACCCTATATCATATACCAAAAACTCTGAGTATATAAAAGCAATTAGAAACCACTAATTGTTTATGCAAGAAGAGGTATAATAAGATCTGTGTGGTAGAAGATGACTTTGGATAGAGGAGAAAGTAGAGCTTACACCAGGCTATTAGGAAGCAATAGTTTTCATCCAGGCAAATGATGGTGGTGGAGGTAGAAAAATGGAATCAATAGGTATTTAGGGGGTCAAATTAACCGGGCCTCTAGGGCGCAGGCAAGAGTGGACAAGTGTGGATGCAGAACAAGGGCCCCTTCTTGGTTGATCAGATGTATAGAGGATGTGCCACATACTGAACAGAGTAGAATGTCCAAGTGCAGACTATGAACTCAGTTTTGAATATTGGAACTATACAATGAAAATTTCAAAGTCAAGGGGTACCTGGGTGGCTCAGTCGGTTTGGTGGCCACCTTCGGCTGAGGTCTTGATCTCGCAGTTCATGGGTTCAAGCCTCGTGTCAGGTTTTGTGCTGACAGCCAGCTCAGAGCTTGCAGCCTGTTTCAGATTGTGTCTCCCTCTCTCTCTGCCCCTCCCCTGCTCACGCTGTCTCTCTCTCAGAAATAAATAAAACATTAAAAAATAAAATAATAAAAAAAAGAAATTTCAAAATTTCAAAGTCAAAGGATATACACGTCGTCACTAAGAAGTGGATTCAGGATTAGAATCTTGATTGCATCTGGTTACAAATCCAATGCTGTTGACCAGCAAGGCACTAAAACTCCCAGTTTCTGAAGAGTTTAGAGTATGATGGAAGGTGTGAAGTCCTGTAGAGGTGAAAAGACAGGAGGGATGCTGGAAGCTGGAGGAAAGATTCTGTTCCACCCTCAGCAGGGGCCATGGGGCTTCAGGATGGAATCCATCTTTCCAGAAGAATGTGATAGAATGGTGATATCACTGGGAGAGGAGAGTCTGTCATCTCCTCTAGGCAGTTTGGTCATGCTCTGCATTCTCCTCTTGCTCTCACACCCCTCCTGAACTCTACATCCTGT